AAAAAAATAAACAAAAGTCCAGATTTCATATCATAGACAAAAATAAAATAGTAACTGAATATAAAAATAAATGTGAACTTTTAAATATAAAAAGGACCTGATAATTCATAAGCTCAACTGATAATGAGAAATGTAGAGAATTGGTACTACATGGTCCATATTGGGTCACATGGGGAAAATATAAAGAAAATGAAGTTATTCTTAAATGTAAAGTTGACAGAGTGCACAGAAATATGGCTCACATCTGCATCAAAAGTTTAGATATAACTTTAATAAGGAGGTATAAAATTGTAAGTCATAATAACGATACAAAGTACAGTTGATATCATAAAATAAAACCCAAATAAAGCATTAAAAATAGAAAACAATGCAAAGAGAAAAACCTTCAGCCCATCAGTATTTAAAAATTATAAACAACAGTTGAGATTTTGGTCTATTAAATACACTTAATAGATAATTTAGACTATTATGTAAAAGAAATAAAATGTTGATTTTGCTTTCCTCCACTACACCTAATTCTTACAATCTGTACTTCAAAAAAGTTTGTAAAAAGATCGTTCCATTATACCCAATAATAGAACACACATTTTCTGCATGTATTTTTTTCTCTTCATAACTTTTCAAAGTTATGACCCCAATACCTTTTCCAAATGTAAATCTATATAATCAACTGATCCCTAATACTTCTACTTACCTTAGTATATTCCAGTTTGTGTTCTGCTGAACTGATTGTCAAATCAACCTTAACTTTCCTGAATTTAAGACTACCGTATCTTTCAAACACATTTCTTCCAGAAAGCATCCTCTTTCCACCATTTTCTTCTGGACATCCTCCAATTGTGCTGTCATTCCATTTTAATGCCTTTCTCAGGTTCCTCATTATATTTCCTTTATTAACATGGGAAGGTTCCCAAGATTCAGTTTTCATCTTTTTCTCACTCTAATTTCTAGGAGACTTCACTCATTCCTATGCCTTCACAAACAGGTGCAGCCCATTTCACAATTAACACCTCCAGCCATAGCACTCTGTGCATTCCAAAGCTGATCTGGTTGTCACGGTTGAATCTTCAATTTCTCCAGTTTCTGGCAACAGAAAACACTTTTCTTTGGCCTATGTTAGTATATAATATAGTTAAAATTATTTTATTTTAATTAATGCTTTTATATCTCTTTCCTAAAGGAGAAAAGTTCCCACCAAATATGACAGTTACAAGAAGGCTGAAAGTGTGAAGGCCATCAGACTAGTGTTATATATACTGTGAGCTGAATCACTTGATGGCCTTCACTTACTAAAAATAAATATAAAAAGATCAGAAAGTAAAACTTATAAAGAGAATAATTTCAAAATATAAACGTGAACACTTTATGTAATTGGCACAATGTAAAGGTAAACAAAATATCATACATGTAAAAATGCTAAAGTAATGATAACTATATTAAAATAGAAAGTTAAGTGTGAAGGAAATTAACAATCCCATCTATGATGGACTGGTGCCCCCAAGAATTGAATGCTTTAACACAGTTGCTTAATGCCACCATCAAGTGTTGTGACAAAATTGATGCAATTAATTTCATAAAAAAAGGAAGAAAAAAATCTTGGAAATGACCACTTATGAGAGTATGAAGTGTCCCTAGTAATCATCAATAAGAATGCAGGTCTGTTTCCTCAGCTATTACTCTTACTTGCAAGCTAAATAGTAATAAAAATAAAAATAAATCTGATTTCTTGCTCTAACAATATCCCACGTATGATAGCTTTAATCTTTCTTTTCCAGGTAGAGACTGATTTCTTAGAAGTACCTCTTCACACCCAGTATGGAGTAGGTACTGCTCAGGGGAATCTTTCTACCCCCAATTCCTTTACCAAGCAGGTTTTAAGGACTTCCCAATGTTGATAAAGTCCAGAGAAGAATTTCCCCAGGCCAGTCTCATCCCAGTTAACTTCTTGTGCTTAACGAGGCTGCTTATCTGCTGGAGTATCTTGTGGAGGACAGTGGTGGTCTAAGCCTTCTGGGCCTTGCTGCCACCTACCTGAAACAACAGAAAAAAATTGTCAGTAGATTAAATGTCCATCAGTAGAAAACTATAGTAACTCATAATGCATTCATTCAGTGGCAATAACATTTTTTAAAAATATAAATAAGATCTATATGTACAAATTTTGGGAGATATTGAAGTTCAAAGGAAAGGTGAAGAATTATGTATGTTATGGTATCTTTTACATAAAAATGAATAAAGTGTAATAAAATAATTTTTATTTTAAAAATTAAAGGAGGAAAACATTATCAGACAGACAACCTTTTACAAAATAGCAAAAGAACAGTACAGACAATACGGAGTTACAAATAAAGTGGTAGGAAATTAACAATGCTTGTTGTACTACACATTGATATCTTCAAAGTGGTTTCTCAGGAAAACAGAGACATGCAATATTGATCAGTCAAGGACTCATTGACAGTTTCTTTCAGCAAAGAAATAGAAGACCATAGAACAACTCTGTTAACTAGCCTGTATATACATACATACAAAATTTCTCCTTCTTTCCCTTCTCTTTTCCCACCTCCTAGTTGCCCTTTACTCTTGAGCAGTTTGCTATCATTTCACAAAGTCTATTATACCTCCGAGTTTAAATTAACTCTTTTAGGTTTTAGACTAGTGAAACAATGCAGTGTTTGCACATGCAGGTCTGACTTATTTCACTTCTGAGTATGGTCTCTAGTTGTGACCATTTACCTATAAAGGCCTCGAGTTTATCTTTCTTTATAGCTGAGTAATATTCCATTATATAAAAGTACCACAATTTTCTCATCCAATCCTCGGTGGATGGACATTTGGGTTGCTTCCGCAATTTAGCAATTACAAATTGTGCTGCTATGAACATAGGTGCACATACATCACTGTGATATGATGTTTTGAGATCTTCTGGGAAAATACCCAGCAGGGGGATACCTGGGTTGAATGGGACCTCTAGACCTAGTTTAAAATAATTTTTCTTAGCCTACATATTTATAAAGAAGCTGGAAGGATTGAAAAGACAATAATAACTTCAAAACTTTAGAAAATTTGGAAGAAACTGTGTTGACATACACATTTATTTCTGTTAATATTTACTACTAATTAAAGAAATACAAAGCAATATACCCACTTAGAGAGAAAAACACCAGTATATGGGAACATTCAAACATTATGGATGACAATACTTTGGACATATTGACTTGAACATATTACCAAACATCCAAAACAAGGTAAAGTTTTGTGCACAGATTGTATAAGCCTATATTCTGTAAAGCAATCGAGGCAAGAAGGTATATAGCCATGGGCAAATAATAGGTATAGTGTACAGTTACTAGAAAATTATGTAACCATTTAAAATGTAGTGAGTACAAAAGCATGAAAAAATTATTTATGAGAGCATCACACCGTAAGCCAGAAGTTCAGAATGTATAATTTATATACTCTATTATGGTCATAACTTAGTAGATACAAATACTATTTTTAAATGATTTTTTAAAATTGAAACTATGAATCAAAATTATACTTGAGGCGTCTACTAATTAAACTGTGTGAGGTAAAAATTCTAGTGTTTTATGTTTTTTAAAAAAAAAATCCTAGCATCCTCCTATGACACTTTAGAGTTACAGAAAAACTGCACTTCCTTGTTATTCAAAGGCAGAAGCCAGGAAGTGGAAATATTAAGGAAAAAGCAGACACCGGGCAAACTTTATACTAAAAGCGTAGCATAAAGCACAAGCACTCACTCCAACCCCCTTAACCGCGCCCACCCAGCCGCAAAATCTCCCAGCTGGCGCCCACCCACAACGACTCACTTGCCCCTCCCGCCCAGAGCGCTGGGAGGAGGCCAGGCGCCCGCGCAGGCGCAGTAGCTGCATGGCCGCCCCTGCCCCAGGGGATCCTGGGACTAGTCCTCTCCGGAAGAACTCGCTTGGCGTCCAGCACTAGGCTGGTGTTCCAGGCCCAGGCCTAGGCCCAGGCCCAGGCCGGTGTTCCAGAACCTTGCTTGAAGATAGCCTGGTGGCCGCGGCGACACTCTGGTAACAGCGGAGGGCGCAGCGGCCGAGCCCTGAGGTGCGCGACCTCATCGCGGAGCGAGCCACGGAGCTTCAGGACGTGGCGGCGCCTCCTCCTTGGCTCGGAGCGGAACTGCTGAAGGAGCGGCCGCGCAGGCCGGACGAGGTGAACCGGGTCATTTAACTGCCTTGGGTTGATGAGTCAATAACTTATAAGCTGATTTGAGGTCCACAGCTCTTTGTGGTCCTGCTACACAGCAGTTTTCGGTGACTGGTGTGTCTCCAGGGGTGGCGCAGTGACTGCTTGCCCTTGATAAGAAAAGCGAGCTTTTGCTGTTTGGACAACCTTGTTTCCCGTGAAACGTTCGGGTTGGAACTTCTTTCTCCAGCCTACGTCTGAAGAGGAAGGCTTTCACATGAAAGTGTCTCTTGGTAACGCCGATATGGGCGTCTCAGCCCACTTGCAGCCGTGCAAGGCAGGAACCACACGATTTTTTACCAGCAATACTCACAGTTCGGTGGTATTGCAAGGCTTTGATCAGCTAAGAATAGAAGGATTGCTTTGTGATGTGACTCTAGTACCAGGTGATGGAGATGAAATCTTCCCTGTTCACCGAGCTATGATGGCGTCTGCCAGTGATTATTTCAAGGCTATGTTCACAGGTGGAATGAAAGAACAAGATTTAATGTGCATTAAGCTTCATGGGGTGAACAAAGTTGGTCTGAAGAAAATAATTGATTTTATATATACTGCAAAACTTTCTCTTAATATGGACAATCTTCAGGACACACTAGAAGCTGCTAGCTTTTTACAAATTTTGCCTGTTTTGGACTTCTGCAAAGTATTTCTTATATCAGGAGTCTCTTTGGATAACTGTGTTGAAGTTGGACGAATTGCAAACACCTATAATCTCATAGAAGTAGATAAATACGTTAATAATTTCATCCTGAAGAACTTCCCTGGTTTATTGAGTACTGGGGAGTTTCTAAAGCTTCCTTTTGAACGGCTTGCCTTTGTGCTTTCCAGTAATAGTCTTAAGCACTGTACTGAACTTGAACTCTTCAAGGCTGCCTGCCGTTGGCTAAGATTAGAAGACCCTCGGATGGATTATGCTGCAAAATTAATGAAGAATATTCGATTTCCACTGATGACACCACAAGACCTCATCAATTATGTGCAGACAGTCGATTTCATGAGAACAGACAATACCTGTGTGAATTTGCTTTTGGAAGCTAGCAATTACCAAATGATGCCTTATATGCAGCCAGTGATGCAGTCAGACAGAACTGCCATTCGATCTGATTCTACTCACTTGGTTACGTTAGGAGGAGTTTTGAGGCAGCAGCTAGTTGTCAGTAAAGAATTACGGATGTATGATGAAAGAGCTCAAGAGTGGAGAGCCTTAGCCCCTATGGATGCTCCTCGTTACCAGCATGGTATTGCTGTCATTGGAAACTTCCTTTATGTAGTTGGTGGTCAGAGTAATTATGATACAAAAGGAAAAACTGCTGTTGATACAGTTTTCAGATTTGATCCTCGGTATAATAAATGGATGCAGGTAGCATCATTAAATGAAAAGCGCACATTCTTCCACCTGAGTGCCCTCAAAGGACATTTATATGCAGTTGGTGGGCGCAGTGCAGCTGGTGAACTGGCCACAGTAGAATGTTACAACCCAAGAATGAATGAATGGAGCTATGTTGCAAAAATGAGCGAACCCCACTATGGCCATGCTGGAACAGTGTATGGAGGCTTAATGTATATTTCAGGAGGAATTACCCATGACACTTTCCAAAACGAGCTCATGTGTTTTGATCCAGATACAGACAAATGGACACAGAAGGCTCCAATGACTACAGTCAGAGGTCTGCACTGCATGTGTACGGTTGGAGATAAGCTCTATGTCATTGGTGGCAACCATTTCAGAGGAACAAGTGATTATGATGATGTTCTAAGCTGTGAATACTACTCACCAACCCTTGACCAATGGACACCAATTGCTGCTATGTTAAGAGGTCAGAGTGATGTTGGAGTTGCTGTCTTTGAAAACAAAATCTATGTTGTTGGTGGATATTCGTGGAATAACCGTTGTATGGTGGAAATTGTCCAGAAGTATGACCCAGAAAAAGATGAGTGGCATAAAGTTTTTGATCTTCCGGAGTCACTTGGTGGCATTCGAGCTTGTACCCTCACTGTTTTTCCACCTGAAGAAAACCCCGGGTCACCTTCTAGAGAATCACCTCTTTCAGCACCTTCAGATCATTCTTAGGTCCAAGGTGTAATACCTTTGCAGTGTGTCGTGGATAATTTCATGCTTCCCTTCAATTATATCTTACAGTGGTTGATGTAGTTACCACACAAGAAGATAACTTACGTAATTTGTCTTGTTTGGCTTAGTATGTTTGTTAAGTGTTTAACAACTGCATTCTGAAAATGTATTCAACATACCCAGCTATTTTAATGAAAAAAGATATGTAGAAAAATGTTTAAGTTAGATAGGTTTTTGTGGTGTTACATAGCAAAATTGTAGGTGACTGTAGTAAGTGTATAATTATATCTATGCTAAAAATTGAAAATTTTTATCTGACTAAAAAGCATCAAAGGAGGCCATCTATTCTAATCTGAAAAAATAAAAGGTTGTCAAGTATTACTAGTTGCCTTCCTGCTTGCATAGAGTGTTTCACATATCTGTCAGCTATTTTGGTTGTGTGGCTGCACTTAGAATAACCTAAAGTCAAGATTTGGAATCTCAGAAAGCAAAAAAGGAAAAATACATATACAGAGTACAAATGCATACATATATATGTACTTGTGTGTAACTAAAATTTTAAAATTGATTAGCATTCTAACTATAGTAACATTTTTAATTTTTTTCATCCACTGAACAACTGTTTCTATTTAAATAGCTTCTCGGCCTTTTGGCTAAGATCATGTGTAGTATCTATTTAAATAGAAATTCAGTATCAGAAAATAAATGTCTATGTAATCATATATAGAATTTAGATAGCTTAGGACTACAGTACATTAAGTGGACAACCAGATTTGTCATTTGACTAAATTGTTAACTTCAGGTAAAGCTTAACAGTACTTTTTTCTGCTTGTTTTCTGTAGGACTGTTTTTGTACAGATTATTTAGCAAAGTTCAAATTTCAGAGAATTGTTTTTGCTTGGTGAATTTAATTTTGCTTTTTTTGACCTTTTTGGTTTTTTTGTTTGTTTATTTGTTTGTTTTGTTTTTCTCCGGTACCAGGAACCGAACTCACAACCTTGCGCTTGCCAGGCAGGCGCTTTTAGCCGCTGAGCTAAATCCCCAGCCCCTTTTGACCTTTTGGTTCAGCAACATTTATGATATGAAAAAGGCAAAGAAATATTCTGAACAAAGCTATAGGATTTTGAGTTCAGTCTCCCAACTTAAACATCCTGACATGATTATTTTGTATTTGGGGTTGATTACCCTGGTGCTACTCCAGCCCACATAGGTTCTGAGCTATATAATCTGCCTCAAGTCTATAATCTGAGCAAGCAGAAAATATACTCTCTTCTGTATCAAATCTGAAAAATGCCCGTTCAGCCATTGTCTCAAGGACAGGACCAACTTCAGACTCTCTAAGAAGCCAGCTACAGAAAGCTTGTAACAGTCTTGTCTTGCAGGCAGTACCAAAGTAGATCTTCAGCTTCTTCAATACCAAGGGCATACCTACTGGTTGAGAAATACATGGGGAAAATTTTATAGCGACCTTATTAGCAAATGGAAATTATAGGAGTCCTCTGTAGTGACCAATTCTGAAGAGGTGCTTTCATGGAGTATTTGCCTGAAGAAAAAATGTGTATGTGTATGTATATCCGTATATCTGGGAGATTGTCAGAGTGTAAATCAGGAGCACTGTCTTTATCCACAATCCCTTAACGAAACTCAGGAACCAAGACAAAAGGAATTGGCTTCTAGGGATCTGAACCTTACTGCCCATACAAGTGTTGATTCATTTTAATGCTTTTTATGATTTCTGCATTGGCAGAAATTTTCATACTTTCTATGTTTTTTTAATAGTTCATTTTTTATTACTAAAAATAGTACATTTGAGTACATTTAGAAAATAGAAAACAGTAGAAATTGCTATTGTGTATTGAATAAGCAAGAAATGGCATTCCAATCATTAATTATTAATGAGACTGAATATTTGTGTTTTTAGGGTAGCTTTGTTTCTTCCTTGGTCAAGTGTTCATATCCTTTCTCCTTGTGATACCTATTGGAGTTACATTGTTTTTCATATCAAGTTGTAGTAACTGTTTATATAATAAATATAATTTAACTGATGTTTGCTTGCTTTGACTTTTTTCTCAGTCTATTACAGTTTTACAAATGCAGGGTTATTCAGTTAAGTTTGAGATCAGATTTGTCCTTTTTACCTTTTGACCTTTTGGGTATAACTTCACTGTGGTTTATTTTGACTGTATTATTGATGTATTACTTTTTCATTGCTAATTCTGACATGCCACGGTGATACTGCTATTTGTCTTCTATTTTGTGCAAGCTTCTCTCTAATTGAAAAAAAAGGTTTTTGCCTTCTATTACATTTGACCCTCCTACTTTGTAATTAAGTGTTCCATGTACATCAGCCTGCAGCATTACATACTCCACCTGTCATCCCTTTCCAGTTTTCTGCAATTAGCACCTGTGCTTTAAGGGGCTTTGAAATGCCTGGAAGAATTTATTTTTATAAGCTGCTAATTTTGTAAAGAAAATTCAGACTAAAAATATTTAAATATAAACACAAAGTGTGTTGACAATTGTGGTTTTCTAACAGGTTTTTGTTGTTGTTCTTGAGACATTCTCGCTGTGCAGTTCAGGCTGGTCTCAAACTTGTGGTGATCCTCTTGCCTTGGCCTTCTGAGTGCTGAGATTACAGGCATGTGCCACCATGCCTGCCTATCAAGTTTTGAAAAGCAACATTTGTTAGCTTTTCTGATGTTAAAATTAGTTATGTCAACTATACAGTAAAAATAAAAAACTATAAATTAGCCATAATTCCACATGGCAAAGAGAACTTCTGTTATCAGTGAATGTTTTATATATATATACAGGTATATGTGTATATCTATATATGTCCATTCTTGTCAAGTACACCAAACCCTGAGCTAAAATCAGATAATAAAAATGTGACCAATTTCCAAAGACACAGACTACTGTCATTTTGCTCAATTTCTAAATTTGCAGATATTAGAAAATAATATGTAAAATGCTTTTCCCTAATTACCAATGCATATGCAGTAAGAAAAACATTTTAGTTTTACACAGGCAAATGCACATGTGTCCCCCCCACACACACACTGGCTAACAGTATGCTTTGCATTTTACCTGCAAAGCATAGGTATTTGATAAATTTCATATTTTTCTGCTTTGTCATTGAAATTGTTTGCATTATAAAAACAAAATGTGTTCCTACAGAACATTTTTAAACTTCATAAACATACCATAAAGAATGAAAACCAATGTCCCATCAGTAGCTCAACCAATTGTTAACCACTGAAAGGCCTGGGGGTAGATTTACTTTATGTTCCTGTGTGGTTTCTTCAGGTCTTTTATAATTGTATATGTATTGGGGTTATAAGGAGATGATGTTGTTAATGTTATAGCTTGCACAGAGAAACATTCAGTAGCTAGTAGGTGCTAGTAAGAAAGGTAGCATCCTTTTGTCAATTATTTTTACTTTAACTCCATCTTGATCTGCAGTAGCTTTGGGAGTGTTGTTTATACAGTATTTCATTTCATGAATGTGCCATTAGGTTAGTGTATTTGAGTACATCAAATTTTTACCATTATAAATAAAGCAAGGTTTAATATATATATGTGTATAGCTTTTGCTCATGTGTGTCACCCTATGATACATTCTGAATAAAATCTGAATACTGTTTTTTAGGCTCTTGAAACTGTTCATAGGAATGTGCACTGTGTGTTTCCAGCAGAACTTCATTCAGTGATTACCTCAAAGGGAATCTGCAGTTCTAGTTTTGATTATAAAAATGACTGGTAATATTTTTCTTTATTGAGCATATGTATTTCTTGCATGTGGATCATTTGTTTCTAACTTGCTTTAACCATTCTATTTCCTATAAAGAGTTTCCACTTCTCGTTATGGCATAATGTAATCAGATATGTCTGTCTTTTTTATGTTTTGGTCTTTTGGTGATAATTTTGCCATTTTTTATTTTGTTGGTGTGTCCTATAGTATCCCATTATTTGGTATATATTTAAATGATTGAGGGTTAAAATAAGACGTATGTTAAGGATAACTGTACATGCTACAGAAGTTGTGTTCTGTAGTTGTGCAGTAGTTGTCATCTGTAGTTGCGAAGCTGAAGTGCTCACTAGCCACAATTGGGTTCAATAACCAAATGTATCAGTTCTCTACAATGCACAGTTCCTCTGTCTTTGAGCCCCTGCTTTCTAGAGCCTAATGTTATTCTGCCATCTACTGGTTGAAATTGAAAATGCTTGTTTAGTTACATTCCAGAGTTGCCTCACTTAGAGCAACAGTAATAAAAATCAAAAATCTTTATAGGACATGTGAAAATTAAGTCATTGATCATTATCAGTTATACAGAGTTTACCAAAAAAATGTATACACACTTCAGAAAATAAAAACTTGTAAATATTTTAGTACTAAATTTATTGAGGCACCATGAGATTAATACAAGTTACCTTCAGCCTCTGTAATTTCAAGAGGTGTTCAAAATGGTGACCATTAGCTTCCAGACATTTGTTAATATGGTGAACTGCTGCTTTGGTAATCCTGGTCATTGAGATTATAGCACATTGATTTTCAGTTTCTTCTGTAAGAGCCAGCAGTGTAATGGGTTTTCTGTGATATATGACATCTTCTAGGGTCTCCCATGTGAGGGTAACACCATGTGTTGAAAAAATATACTATTTTTCTTTTCCTGAAGTGTGTATACATTTTTTGGCAGACTATAAGTATAAAAACCTATGGTAACTTGGTATGTACTAGGTCAAATAATCAGAACAGCATGCCTGTAATTCCAGCACTCTGGGAGGATTGCAAGTTTGAGGCCAGTCTAGGCAGGTTAGTGAGACCCTGTCTAAAAATTTAAAAAAAAGAAAAAGGGCTGGCATGTCGCTAAGTGTGACGGCCCATTTAATTGTCAATTCCTCCCACACACATGCACTTGCATGGTGGGGGGAATCATTTAAGTTGCTTTGACATATTTTATTGATAAATTCTTATAACTTGAATAGAAAATCTGCAATGTTTCATGCAAATTCCAAGCATTAAGAGATACTACTGCTGCTTTTGTGTGTACATTTTCTACGCTATTTTTATTTTTTTTTTAGCAGAAAATGTTATCATAAAAGTACAGCTGTAAACCTTTCAATCACAGAAAGGATGTGATATGCAGTATATACAAATATAAGTAAATAGGACAACCTCAAAATATTTAAAAGTGTATTAAAAAACTTAATATAAAATTAGTTTGCCCATGTGGCTATGAGTATTAAATCATTCCTGCTGTAACCATGTAACTTACCCAGCCCAAGAGGCTATATATAAAGAACACACATGGGTAATATGGATAAGCTGATACTGAGTTTTCTTAGTACCATCCATAAATACAAAGAAAGTATTTCTTGGGTATGTGAACAGTAAGAGTGGCACTTACTGCCTTTTTTCTCCTCAGAAGAGTGTCTCAGAGCAAAATATTCTCATACATTGCACATTCTTTTCCTAGGATAGATGAGAGTAAAAACTGGTAAACTCAATAATGCTTCCTGAAAAAAGATAAAAAGTGCATGCTATCCCCTATTTCTTTTTTACACAGACCTGAAGGAACAAGATGAGTACAAAGGGGATGACAGTAATTATGTGACCTTCATGCGATTCACCGTATAAACGCCTTCTCTAATTCTAAGTCCACGAGTATGTATGGTTCTTTACTATCTCGTAGAAAGCTGTAATATAATGGAGACTTAAAACCTCTAATAGCAGAGGTTTTTCATTCTTTGCCTCATTTTACCCAAGAGCAAGTTGGCAGAGTACATGTTTAAGTGGGGACAGGTTTGATTTCTGTTGATTTAAACAACTTTATCTTAGTTGGGGAATACACATTATCACTTAGAAATCAAAATATTAAGCCAGGTATTAGTAACCCATAAACACTTTAAATCATGTTAAATTATGAACCAGAACATACCCAACATGAAATCTTAATGTAAGTCAGTATAACATTTATTTATATCAAGCAGTGTTTACTTCAGGTTTTTTTTCTTATTATTAATTTCTCTAGATAAGAAAGTCACAAACAGATTTCACCAAATCTTTCATATACCATATACTTTAGGCATCACTTCAGCTCAAAGATTAGGGAAAGTTTTCTACCTGTAAAGTCGGGTCTCCATTAATTACCCATATGCTAGACTTGCTTTACTTTATCTAGCAATGGGGGTGGGTTATGAATTCTACTGATAATGTCCATTTTGTGCACCACTTAGGCTGTGATGTTTCTACTTCCCATTCATGCTCAGTACTTACCTGGTAACTAGTTTGGCCATAAGCATCAAATTCATGCCTATCATTTGAGAATGCCTCCATGTGCAGCTCAGTATCAAGCGAATGCCTTTCAAGTTAGCCTCCAGGCTCAATGTGTAGAAGTGGGTTTTGGATACCCTGTTGGGGACTTCCACTGATCAGATTCCTCAGGTGAGCTTTTGCTTATGTGAAGGTGTATTTGTCAGAAAAGATAGAGAAATTCTATCAAGATCAGGATTATAGCTTTGAAAATGACCTAAGACTGCTGGAGCATTTGCCATGCAGAGGGGTGGGGACTTTAATTCAGGAGAACAACAAATTGGAACCATTTTGACACAGCTACTAGCCAGTTGTGAACTACAAATAAGTTACTAGCTGGATGTTGTATTGAAAAACTTAAAACATTTGATCATTCTATTGGTTCATGATCTCTCTTCCCTGGGGTGGTTATTATTTAAATGATGTTGCTGGACCAAAGCCATTCTATTTGAAGAAATGTCAGTTTTAAAATCTTTAATCATAGACGACTGTCATAGATGACTGGATATGATAGTATTGGGCACAAAAAAAAAGTGCACAATCCACCAACTATACCACATTCATGCAGAGAAATAGTTTAAATTTTCTCCTGTAGCCTTTACTGTCTTACAGTCCCATCATTGGCTTTCACAGACAAAATCACCTCAATGATACTCTCGTTGAACTCTTAGAAATAACCTTCATCCACTCCCTAGGAATGACTTAATATTTTAGTCTTAACTTATACTACAGTCCCAACAATTCTACTCTCCTCCACAAATTGAGTATTTAAATTGTAAAAACTGGTTCTATTAATTTTAAAAGCAGTGCTATTTTCTCTTATTCATAGACTAAAACAAACTTTTGATTGATATCATTTCCCTGATCCTCCTCTTCTTGCCTGAACTATCTGAGCTACATGTTATTTTGAAACAACAAAGCAGTAACCCTCCTTTCCAACCTGGATGCAAAGCTTCATTAGTGGTATTTCAACAACAGATTGCATGACTAGGGTTCTCCTGTTTATTCCTGCTTGTGAGCACAGCGTGATAAAGACCTACAACATTATTTTAAAAGGACTGCTTGTTAAAAATACCAACTCTCTCAGCCTTTGAGTGGTTACTGCTTTCTTCCAATTACTACCCCACCTCTGCTATTTTCCTAGAACTTCCAAAATACATTCTAGTTCTAAAGAACTAAAGAACTCAAATACTACTCCAGAGCTGACACCCACATACCCTATTGCTTCCCTGTAACTATTCAATGCAGGTCCAAACCCTACAGAAGTTCTATCACCTTCCCACTCCTTCCACTGTGGTTCTTCAAGGGGAGTGCTCCCAGGATGTGCACAAGGTAAGAAACCAAAATCATTATTTCTAAGGCTCTGTACCTAATGGGCTTCAATACAATTCCAGGAAAGAAGGAAGTATGGGGGTTTTAAGAGATAACAGACACAACTTTTAAGCCCCATTTGTATTGTTAGTGGTAAAAAAAGGCATTAAAGAATGGGAGTCCCAGTTCTTACTGGAGCAGAATCATCAAAAGTGCTGATTAGTGTGTTTCTGTGGTTTGATTTGTGGTTTTCTTTCTAGACGTTTAATCTAGAACTGGTTTCTAAGGCATTCCCTGAATTCAGCAAGTACCACATATTTTTATACTTTGGTTTGGTCATCAATTTTATATTCAGCTGATACAGCCTCATGAGTATCTTCCAAACCTATTACCTATCTCCTTGAGTACAATGATTATTTCCTAATGGGTCTACTACCCTCTTTGCTGACAACAAAACCCCAACCCAGTTTTTAAAGGCTAACTGGAAGAGTCTAGTGTGTACTGGGTTACATCAATGCACTACTTAAAACATTTTAATATTCTGATGACCATTTCTGTGAATTACAATCTCCTAATTGCTTACAAAGCCTTTTGTAATGCAGCCTGTGCTTCCTACTCTAATTAAGGAAATGGACAGAGATGTGGGTGAAGTTTTCAAAATAAACACAGAACTATTCAGCCACAAACATCCCTCAGCAAAGTTAGATTTTACTCTATCCACTGAAGTAGATTATACTCTCCTTTACTGAGGAGCATGTAGTTTACATAAGAACTGTCGCTTGGACGCAGGGAGCAGTGCCTCATGACCGTGGGGACCATGGGTATGGGTCACCATGCAGTGCCAGCTGGAAACAGGCAAATTTTTTAAAACTTCTGAAGCTAGGGTGTGACTGTGGCCATGTCTTAAATTTTACTGCCTGCTGATTTCTTAGGTGCAGTGGTCAAGCCCCACTGAAGCCCTGCCAGTCATAGATTGCATGGAAGGAACCCTGCAAACACATCTGGACTCAACTGGTTAAAAGTGTAGGAGCTCCTCTACGTATCTGTTCAGATGCTTCTGTATTCCGATCCTACTAGAAGAGTGCAACAGACACATAGCATTCATTTGCTCAGAACACCAAGATACACATCTAGAACTGTGAAGAAAGTAAAAGAATCAGCAGCAGCTTGAGAACATGATAGGAGGAAGAGATGCTTCAAGTGTCTTCAGAAACAGGACAGTGCTAAAGATATGGAGCTATCAACTGTTCACGCATTTCAAACTGAAAGAGAAAAAGATTGAAGTGAATGCTGAGAGCACAATTGTCCTGCTGAGAAATGGCCAACAGCAGCATCCCCAACATGAATGACATTGAGACCACATCAGCCTGCAGAGTACTGGAAGGGAGGAAGATTATTCTAGCACCTGCTGCAAACTTGTTTTCTCCCTAGGAGCCAATGAGTCATCATAGCACAGGGAAAATTATGGAGCAATGCAATGCAGAGAATTTTAAAAATTCTACTCATAATTCTGCCTCTTTATAAAACAAGCACCATGAAGACAATATTTGCACACAGACATCATTCCTGTACATTTAACAGTGGAGGGCCTTCCCAGCACAGCAGGTATAACTTACTTTGTTGAAAAGATAACATCAGTGGGTCAACTTTCATTCCTACACTCCAGTTGGTGCATTTTTCACTGAATAGGCATATTTAAAATTTAAACACTTCTTTAGGATTAAGGTCTACACACACAAAATATCAAACCTGTATAAATTAAAACCAGCTATTATTGTGAGTAGCAGAAAGGCTCTTATGTAGCAGCCTGTGAAAGTTAATCAGAAAACTGGTAATAATGGAGTCTTTCAAAAATAAAACAAAGACACAAAGAAATTCGTTTCTTTTTTTTTTTTAGTACTGAGGATTGAACCCAGTAGCTCCATCCACAGTGCTTTTTTATATTTTGAGACAGACACTAAGTTGCCAAATTGACCAGGCTGGACTCCATGATTTTCCTGCCTCAGCTCAGCCTCACAGCGAGCTCTGCTTGCTATAATTTCATTTGAGACAAACACATCTAGTAGCTATGGCTTTAGGAAACCATCTCAACACCCAGACAGCCATGGAAAACCTGGACAGCACTATAGCCTTTGGCACAGAGCTGGATGGGCAATCTGGAGTCGTAGGAAAAACTCCATGTGACTCCATATTTGTACACACACGGAGGCAAGCAGGCAGGCAGGCAGGCAGGCAGGTGAGCAGCTCAGCAATGATAGCCTTTTTCAAATTTTGAGTTTGGTAATATTTGCAAAAACAAAATGACATCTTTCAAACCTTGAAAGACAGATAAGACAGAGATAGATATGTGAGAGAAATCATTTATTGTATTGCTAGCCATAAAGATAGGTAAATACAACTACACTTATGCAATATGGCTGACATTGGAGTTAAGCCCAGACTCTTCTGGGTAAAGCTTGCATTGTTTCCATGTAGAATGCGCATAGTACCCTCCATCTTGGCTATATAAGTCTTTCTCATACTGACAATTCAATGCTTGGGTGAAAAGATGAAAAAGAGAATAATTCTTTACTTGCTTTTATCAGGAGACAATACAAAAATAAGGCTGGACTGCATGTCAGCAATGGGGTTGTCAAGTCTGGGAGTAAGAGTCGGTTGACCTGAAGTGTGTCCCATGGAATCAGTGAAGACAAAAAGGAGTTCAAGTCCATATGTCTGGACTATCATTAGAATGAAGATTTTTATGTGCTTTTAGTTTATTCTTTTTGTTTCTTTAAAGAAATTCAGATTTTAGATTTTTAATTTTTAAACTTTTATTAGTACAGATTTGCAGTAAAAATAAGTATATTGATTGTGAGGGGTTGGTACAAGTACATAACACATCTTAATTCTTTTTTACTTACCCTTCCCCACCTTCCATCGCTTGGTCTCCTTCCTATTTGTAAAAGGTCTATTTCCACGTTTATTCTTAAGCTAACTAGAAAACTTAAGAATCAAAACTAAGTAGGCTTCCACAAGTCTGCATTTAGTGAGTTAATAATGTTATTTTAAGATATTTCATTGATGACATCACTCATTTTTTACTTACTTTCAAATGGCAGAAAAATATACAGCTTTATGACTTTTGAAAAGGTTTTTAAAAAAATTTCCTTCAAACAAAATCAGTTTCAAATATTTACACCACACCTGCTATTGCCCTATCCAACGCTCTCCAGTGAAGAGCAACCCTTTGGCATTTGAAGGACTTGGAACATTTATCATCTCAACCTACCTTCCCTGACCTCACCTTGGCTTAGAATTCATGCCCTGGCCTCTCCTTGGCTTAGAAATCCCATGTAAATTTCTTTTCATAAATTTCAGACAAACTAGATTTTACCCCTTCCTATAATCTACCCCTCTGGAAGTTCTATCCCTTTCAGTCTAACTCTCTAGATTAATACTTTTCTTCAACCAGCGTGTCGTGTACATCGTGTTACTGAGAGGAGTAAGTTCACATCCATATTTAACATAAATTAAATTTCAGTGTCATTACTTTTTAAATATCACCATTACTGTTTTTTTTTCCAAATAAAAGCAGTATCTTCTGAGATTTACTAATCCTTTTTCTTTTCATTCTACATTTCTCAAAGTGATCCTTTTGTTGTCTAAGTGGATTATTAATTAAATGGTATGCTCGGGCAAGGCTAACAACAGTCATTATTCTGTCAGAGAGTGTTAGTGATTGTGAACTGGATTGCTGGACTCCTCCCTTCTCTCCTCAGAAGTGATCACCTCATTATTTAATGAAGAAAAGTCAAGTGGCTGGTGTTGTAAAGCTGAGGCAAAGCATCGACCCAGGAGTGGCTCTTTGGTAATTCTCTCACAGCAGCAGCCATTTTCCTGCCCTTTTACACTTCAGCACTGGCCTTTAGTTCCCCCCACCCCGTCATAATTCCTTGAGTTTTACTAATTTACACTTCGTCATTGTCACAAGAAGTTCATTTTTTTCACTTTCATGACAATCAGAATTAAATTGTTTTTCTTTTAGCATGCAAACTACTTTGGGTTTTGCTTTCTAGGAAAGTTGAGAAGAGAAATAAAAAATCTGATGTAATGAAAATTGTCGAGAAAATTGATGCTACCCTTTTGCCTTTTTTCTTCATTCTATTTGTATTGCTTCATCATAAATTACAAATTAAGGTAAGCATTGGAGGACAAACTTTGACGAGTAAACCAACACATTTAAAAAGACAAAAAATTAAAATGAAAAAATTATAAACATAATAACTTGAACCTGCCCTGCACTGATAGTGTTAGAAACAGAAGAACAAAAAACCTAATAGAATTAGATTAACTGTATAAACATCTGTAGGTCATTAGTTCCTCTACAATCTGCTAACTGAGCACACTGTCATCAATGAGATCTGTGTATCCACCTTAGAAACTTCCAGGGTAGCAAGGATTCAAAGTTTAAGTGTTGATCAATAAAAATGATACCAAAACAAAAAGTATTTGTCTACTAAAGATAAAATAACGACAAACTGGCAAATTTCTACACCTACAAAGACAAAATAAATTTATAATTAATATCTGAGCGCTACTGATGATTTGATACATGGGGACATGTGGCACGATAAGCGGTCACTGTTGAGAACAGTGGTCATTCATACAAACTCCCTAGGGCCAAAAGGAAGAAATTTGGAAGATTTATTATTTTGACAACGAAGTAAACATCACCTCTAGTGAGAGTTCTGATGCCATAAGGATACGCTGAGCCTGCTCTCAATGAGTGTGAAGGGTGTTCTGGGGATATTCTATCACTCTAGAGCAGAGGGTGTTGAAGGATGTAGTAATCACCTTGTAAGTGACCTGGTGCTGGAGAAATAACATTGTCTTGGAATTAGAATCACGATACACATACACATCTGAAAACAACCAGGACTTAGGCTATGGGTAATCATTACAGCTTATAGACACTGTAGGCCTCAGTGAGAACATGGTGGACAAAAAGGGGATGCTTACAATGATCTTAACTCCATGACCCAGTGATGCACAAACACATGAATGTGTTTTAGAAGGAGAAAAACACCAGAGACATTTATTTGTCCGTAATCACCAGCCTTCTTTGGGAATATAAAGCAAACTACATTCTATTCTCCATTCTAAAGTTCATTTGCCATGAATGGTATGGTAAATCCCTAAAAAATTACAGAAACCCATAAGGCCCAGGTATATCACCTTCCATATAAAGGAATGAAACCAAAAAAGGAGGCTAGGAATGGGAGTAAAATTTCTTCATAGAACAAAAAGAGCAACATTTATTTGTAGAAAAAAAAATGTGCACGTGTGTGTGTACATGTGTGAATGTACAGACATATATATACTTCTACCTTCAGGACACAAAACATTCTTACTGGACCTACAAGTTCCATTTGGACTTCTAATGTCTAAAGATTACTGAGAAAAATGTACCTTATATTGCAGAATTAATATTTTAGCCTCCTGCTCTAAGGCCATATGGATAACGCAAAAATGAAAACAAAAAATAGCAGTAGAATTGTTGTGTTCCTTATTTAAGTCATGCAGTCAATATCTTCAGAGAACCTGGGATCCAAGTTTCACCCAATTCCAGCTCAGCCAGGCCAGCAGCATCCTCATTGCCCCATGGCCCTCCTGCTCCCTCTGCTGACTGCTCTGGTACTGTGCTGCTATGGGCCTGCTGGATCTGTGGGCTGTGATCTTCCTCAGAACTCCATCCTGCTTAGCAGGAAGACCCCTTGCTGTTGGACCAGATAAGGAGGATCTCCACTTCCTTGTGTCTGAAGGGCATAAAGGAGTCCGATTACCTAGGAAGGCAGTGATTAGCATCCAGTTCCAGAAGGCCGAGACCACACCTGTCCTCCATGAGCTTCTACAGCAGATGTTCATCCCCTTGCACACACCACACAAAGCATTCCTCTGCTTCCTGGAGCAGGACCTTCCTCAAGGAACTCCTCACTGTGCTTGAGGAGCAGCTGGAAGTCATGAAGTCCTGCTTGGTGCATGCAATGTGAGAGGAAGAATCTGTCCAAGCAATTGAGAACCCTGCCCAAAGATTCTTCAGAATGAACTTGTGGAGGTATGTCCAGTACCTCCGTGTCTACCTGAAGGAGAAAACATACAGTGACTGTTCCTGGGAAATGTTCAGAGTGGAAATCAGGAGAGTTACCTCTTTCTTCCTCACCAAAATTAAAATAAATGTTAAGAACTAAGGATGGAGACCTTGGGTTACCTTGAAATGATTCTTCTTGATTACTGTTATCTTTGAAATGTATATTTGCTCATCTCAAAAAAACTTATTTCTGTTTCATTTACATTTTATTAAATCATATTCTGCAAATTCTCTAATAATATTAAGCATGTGTATGTAAACATATTTAGGTCCAGAAGCATATTTTAGAAATAATTGCTCTTGTTCATTCTATCTATTCATCTGTTTACTTATTTTCATTTCTTTTTGCATATGTTGCATGTACTTATGAACAAATATTTGCATATAATATGTTTATTTATATTTCATTAAAATATATAAAACTTCCACAATTCAGTGTTTTTTATTTTAAAGAGAATAGTATAAAAAAGAACAATAGCAAACTACAAACAAAACACAAAGCAAGGACATTAAAAATTATACAGGGTTTCAAACCAAATGGTAGGGATTAACAGTGGTTGTTATATTACATTCTGTTATCTTCAATGAAGTTGCTCAGATTACCAGATATAATAATGGAAGATTGATCAAACCATTGAAGAGAATAAGAAAATAATAATGTAAAAAAGCATTAGAGACAATACAGAGTTTCATTGACAAGATGGTACAAATTCACTGAAGGCTGTTATATTGCATATTGTT